CGGAAGATTTTTTGGAAGATTTTTCGGGTTTTCTCGCAATTTTTTGCTGCTTGCTGGCTGTTTCTCGTTAGGCAAAATTGCATGGGCCGCGACACGATACCCAGGCCTACGACAGTGGAGCACTCTCAGACTGTGTAGAATAGGCTTATCCTTTAGTACAAAGCCCTTGGCAATTGCTCGACGGAGTGTGTATGCATCCTTGAAGGTAGTATGGTGTATGGTGTCCTCCTGATTGCATCGCGACAGGAGTGAGCCTCGTTGTACCCCCTATCAGGAAGGCCCAAAACAGTTAGGCAAGCCAGGTCCCCCAGGCCCTACCCTACTCTGGGTCCAAGCACAGATGGCGCAAATCAAGGACGCAGCCAGAAATAAGAAGAGAGGGGAAACACTATTCTACCAAGGGGCAATGAGGCACCACAGTGAACAAGGACACTATATTCCTAAACCAACACCCGGTGCCGCCGACCCTGGAACCAGAGGGGAGGAGCACGAGCAGGGAGGAACCAGCTCAGCAGGCACAACAGCGAGCAAACAAACAGAGCTGAAAAGCATGAAAGAAAGGATCGATGCCCAGCCAGCTTCGGCATCCTCCTCTACCTCCTGGGAAGGAAAACTGAAAGGACCTTACAGTGGCACAACACTTAAAGTCAGGAGGGGGGAACTGGGGACGGAAGAAGGTGGACAAGGAATAGAGATCCCACTGGATAACTTCACGACAGCCAGTGCGTTTTTCCTTACAAAATTTCTAACCAGCTCTGAAGATAAACTGGTGAATCAGGGGGGCAAGCAGCGCTGGGTAAAAGCCCTCCCAGCTGGGAAGGTGCAGGAGAGAGAAGAGATCTGCACCCGCCATGCAAACAACTGGGTGTTCTACGATGATGCGACATACAAAACAATGAACGATAAGATAATCTGGATTAGGAAAAGGCTAGCAACCCTCAAAGGATCGGAGGAGGGAGGACGCGATTTCTTCCTAACACAGCCGGTCTCATCATCCGTATACACCATCATCTGCATGTTCGATGCAAACAAGCACACAATGGATGCCTGGCGAAGCATCCGCTGCGGCCGATCAGAGGTCAGGATCTACCCGTGGTCGCCACAAAAGCAGCAGAAACCGGAGGAGAGGAGAGAACAGTTAATGGCGGATCACTATTGGGTTGAGTTTAGGCACGTCCCGATTGAGATACAGGCAGCGTCGTGCAAGACTTAGCGCAGAAATACAATATAGTAGACTTCATCGACCCCCTACCGTCGTACGTAGCTAAGCGAGACGACTACTTGATGTTGGCCCTTGATCTACCTAAGGACCATGTTTTTCAGATTGATGATGTGATTGAATTTCGCGTGGGGGGACGCGATTTCAGGATACATACTGCGCACAAGACTCGACCCTGGTGCATCAGGTGCCAGGCGTATGGCCATGCTGCGGCGGAATCGGGATGCCCACATAACCCAGCTAAGAGAGTCAAATCCACGGGCCGCTTGCTGCGTGATCCATTTAAGGCAACAATGTGGAGGACAGTCGATCCGGGGCACGAGGGTTGGGTATACATAGATGAGCAAAAACAAGGAGGGGGAGCGAGAGGGTGGGAATGGGAAGGGAAGGACGACATCAACCGCGAAACAAAACCTCCTAAGGGATGGACCCCGCATCAGTCAGTTGAGAAACACATGGACAAGCCAAGTGAACACCCCTTGCGAACTCCCTCTGGTCCTCACCCTGGCCCCCCAAACCAGCGAAAACCACAGACCGAGGGGGGAAAAGAGCCCCGCCCTCAAGATTTTCTTATAAATGCAGATACAACTGCAGTGTGGGAACAGGCCCCGACATCAAAAAAAGGAGGCCAGAAAGGACGCCCGAAAGGAGGGAACGACACAAAGGGCCCCTCGCCTAAACCTCTCAAACTGAATGTTGTGCGCCAAGGGACAGCAAACCGCTACGCCCCTCTGACAGTTGCGGGAGAAGGGAAAGAGAAGTCGGAGAAGAAGCCAGAGGGAGAGCAGGAGGAGATCGAAACTGCAGGAAGGGGGAAGATGGTTCACGGAGAAGTACATCCGACAGGGAGCAAGAACCAAAACTGAAAGAAAAAGGAGCACAAGGAAACAGAAAACGAGACACAATATCTCCCCTGGCCAGAATGGGAAAACAAGAAAACTGCAGACCCACTGAGCCAGGCTTTCGGACCGCAGCCAATGGATGTGGAAGACACCCCCCCCCCCCCGGACGTGGAAATGGCGGACACAGAAACTGAGCAGCAAGAGTACCCCTTGGGTCAGGGGGATGTGGAAAGTTGGAAACAAAGCTCAGAGCTCTAGGGGACTGGCTGATTGATCACCTAAAAACGTTGCACCCGAACTTGGCACTGTCATTTTGGGACTCCGTGTACGTACACCTTTTTGAAATGCTGGATAACAGTCCAACTTTGAAACAGGCACTACACCAAGGACTGGCGGGCCAAGAAAGCTGGTACACCAGGTACACACTGCACAATGCTTGGTCGGATATGGCACATTGTACAGGGCCAGTTTCAGAGTCCACCCCTGGAAACAGAACAAGGGGCGGAGAATATTCAGCAAGACACACATCCCCAACCACCTCAGCAAACAGACCGACCAGAAATGCAGTCGGGGGGGAGAAGCCCCACAGGCGAAAAGCCAAGAGGTTCCGGGGGGCAAGTCGGAACAGACTGAACAGACTGAACAGACCAAAACCCCCGAAACATCTAGGAGAACAAAGCTACAACACTTGGTCGAAAAGGGTCGTCATGACGCCCCCTTATCCAAAGACAATAGGGTTTTGGTCCTACCAATAAGAAAGGGGGGAGGGAATTGGGAGTTGGGGCTTTCACATGCAGAGCACAACGAATATACTCCAAGTTTCGGGGGAGTGACTCTGCAAGGGTGGCGACAGGACGACCCCGGGGGGTTTGTGCGAGAGGAAGTAAAAACTTTTATTGCAAATCATTTTGAACCCGGAGCCACTGCCACCATAATAGCCTCAGGAGGCCCCAACAAGATTGTAGACTAGGACATATATGTTCTGTTTGACGAACAGAAGGAGGCCGGCCTTACTTGGGCCTCACACAATGCATTGCTCGAAATACAAAGTCTCAAAGTAAAACCCAGTCATGCATGGTCCGGAGACGACTTGCTTACCTGCATATGCAGGATCCTGCGTAAGAATATTTTTAATAACAAGGTGGCCTGGGATCAACAGAGTTGGCACCGCTTAAAAAAAAAAAAAAGATCATAGCCTGACCCTTACGCGTTAGAAATGGACTGGGTAGGCACACTTTATGGCAAAAATAGAGCGTGGAAATGCACGCTACAAACGATTGACTTGGATTTGCGCTCCATTAATGTCAACGGGCTTGCCTCTCAAAACCAAGAAAAAACACAGGTCCTATGGGACCTTCTACGTGGAGTTGGAGGACGGGAGTGGTCAGATGTCATATGTGTGCAAGAGACACACTTGATGGACACGCCGGCACACCATAGGGCCCACAAACTGGTCTGGCCTTACCAATCTGTACAGGATTCTCACCTGGCCCGGGGCGGGCCGGAGTGGCAATATGGGTTCTGCGGGTTTGGTGGGTGGTGAGTCAAGATCTTGACACAATGTTCATGATTGACTAGCCTCTCTGCTCTTTTACGTGCGGGCATTGCCCGCACCGTCCGCACCGAAGGCGCTAAGCTAGTTATACCTCATTGGAGGTGGCCAGGTCAGTTTTCCAGCAAAAATCCTCCCCTTATAAGTTATAAAATGGGCGGGTTTCTCTCCCAATAGTATCCCATGCTACCCTTTTTATGGCATGGGTGTGATTAAGGTCATTCTTCCATAGATACGTCGTCGCCACCTGTTTCAACAACTCTTTGTTCAAGAAACAGCAAGCAGGGACAATAGCACAGATCTTCAGGATGAGACCCCAATTGTCACGAAATGAGACAAGTCTGTGGGCATTAGGGGAACTGGAATTCCAGACCGGACAGTCGTTCCTTTCATGGGGAAATAAGCACCAGAAGAGTGCTGCTATCGGTAGCTACCTCCACCGGATTGATCAGAACACTTCGGTTCGAAGTGAATTTTCGGAGCGTGTCCTATCCTTGAGACGAGAGTTAAGAATGAAGGATGTCCCTGCAAGCTTCTTCGAGAGAACGTTGCGCAAATTTGCCTTTCGACGGGATTTGATTTGGAAACAGACGGTGGAATTADTGACGGGTTGGTAGATACTCTGACAGGGTTTGCTCGTCATTTCCATCATGGATCGTCGTATTTCGGATGGAGTCGCCACGTGGAGTCGACAGTACTATTTATTTTGGGTACCTTCTGTAGTTGTTCTTTGTATTTCTGGTGTCGGTTGATTGGTTCTTTGACAGTTTCTGCCGTGGTGGCGCATGCACTCTGATGGGTACGTAAATAAATAAAATGGACTCTTTGAGGAGGACGGTTCAGATAGGGCTAGCTTAGGATTTTTTCGGGCCTATCGGTGTTTGACCCAAGTTGTGAAGCTTGGTTGGATTTAGCCTTTGAGTAGGACATCCGAACCGGGTCTGTACCAGGCCTGGTATTGGGAGGCATGTTTTGGACACGGTACCATGCATACATAGACTATATAGTGTGTGAGTACGACTGTCTCAATCTCTTACGGAACGCTCACTGCCGTTCCCCGTAGTGATCGTCGGGTACGTGGATTGTTCGGTGGTTCTTGGGGATGTGGAAAGTTTAATGTTGCCGTAATTTTCGAGAATCTGTTCCTACACACTATGTTGTCCAGTCACTCGCTTTGTGTTTGACTTGACTTTCTCATGTACTTGAAATGTGATCTGATGCTATCTACTGCACCTGTGAACGATCCTGGAGTCAAGTGGTTGGGATAAGTGAGCATGAGTTACCTGGCTAATAGATTGTTGTTTCATGAAGGGTTACTGCGAGGAGTGTTCTTCCATTCGTGGTTTTGCTTCGTTCACGTGCGACACTGTTGTTACGCTACGTTGTTGCGCGGCCATTGCTTACACATCTTGGACAGGACGGACCTTCGGGGTCCTCCCTCGGGGCGATGGCGGGTCACGGTGATAACCGTGACTTTGGTGGTGGTGGTCGCAATCTGGGTGGAGGTGAACGCGACTACGAAAGGGGAGGTTATCGCGGGTATGGGAGTGATCGTGGGGAGACTGGGGATAGGGGTTACGATGGTGATCGTAGGATTGGAGGCGAGCGGAGCTTAGATCGGGGTCCTCGGAGGGGACCTTTGATTTGCTTCAATTGTGACGAGCCGGGCCACTATGCCAATCAGTGCCCTCACCTGAGGCGGAACGAGCACCCGTCGGCATCGACTTCCCGGGGTGGCTCTAGCCCTCCAAATAGACCAAGCTTCAGCGAGCGACAACAATCGGACCCGTTGGAGTTTAAGGTAGCCGAGATTGGTAAGAGTGTCGCCGCAGTGTGTCAGTTTGTCGAAGTGGAACAGCAGAAGAAAGTTGTGAAGGAACGCAGGAAAGCTAAGAAGAGCGAAGCTGAGGAACGAGCCGAGGCTGAACGAGCAGCAACTTTACTTAGCAAGCAGAAGAAGGAGGAGAAAACTCGCAGGGAAGCCGAGATCAAGCAAGAACTGCACAAGAGTTTGGATGTCAGAATGGCGGTACGGGTCAAGGAACTACGCGAGGATGTGCGTGAGGATGTCCGACAGGAGATTCGTGAGGCCATAAGTGAGTTGTCCTTGGCGGTATCTCGTGGCAAACGAAAGAAGGTGGAAACTGCAGTGCCGGCGAGGGAGAGTAGCGCGAGCAGCAGTGAGACCGAGGAGTTGAATTTGCAGACCCGAAGATTGTGTATGTCTGATAAGAGAAAACGTGGACCAGATTCATTGCTTGAAGGCAGCCCCCCAATGGAGATGCCACCTAAGCGTACACCGAAACGGGGACCGCGATCTGCAGCGATTTCTGGGAGACTGACGAGAGCTAAAGCTCGTACGCAGAAGACCATTACACCGAGGAAGACTCCGCCATCCATTTGCAAGAAGACTCCTGCGGCTATTGGGATTGCCGGACGACTGAGATTTGAGAAACGAGTATTGAATAACCTCAAGAACTTGGACGTACTTGTCTTGCAGAATATCTGCAAAGATGAGGGAATATCGTACAATGGTAAGTTCGAAGCCATATTTGATATTGCCGCACATCGTACACACGTGGCGTATGGCACGGACGATGACGAGGAGGCAATAGCGACACCGGTGGTGTGCGCTGAGGAGGGGATTGACGAGAATGAGTGATGCATTTTCAGTATTGTTGACTTGTGGTATATCGTTCGTTGTCTCACGAATTTGCGTTCTTTGATAGATGTTATCGATGCTCGAATTGAGGAGCTACTAAGGCTAGCGATAGTGAAGCTCTCGCTTTATGGAGTGATTCGTTGGACACGCAAATGTGTGGATGCTTGGGTTCGCCTCTTCGAGATTTTAGACCTGATTTTGTTAACATTAAGTCGAGTGTCTACGTAGCGGTTTCACCCTACTGCAAGTTGCAGTAGATTGGTAAGACCTCGAGACATCTGGACGTCCGCTGGTGTGAACATATCTATGCGTCTAATAATCGTTCCCCCAATCACTTTTACCATTGGCTAGGTTGCTTCGGGGTCGAGAACTATGTGTTGGTACCTGTGGACACAATTATCAACGATGAATGACAAAGTTGGAGGGTGTGTACATTCGTCAATGGTCACCATTTCTGAATACGGCAGGTATACTAAGAAGTCGCCGTCGTAATAATAAGGGTAGGGCTCTCGGTAAAAGGAACGAACTCGTCTGGGGAAGCCTGCCCATGATGTCCAGCGGGTCATAGCACCCATACGTTTCCGTCTGACTAGGTCAAACGATTGGCGCCTGGATCTCTTCGAATTGTTGAAGAATCAGGAAGTTGTCGGTACTCATTGTGTTGATATTTGTGTGAGTGGGGGGAATACGTGGCAGTCACCATGGAAGTGTATAGTTAGAAAGTTTGGCTCTACTAAGGTGGTTCGCGGTTCCGAATCTTGTTTGCTGAAAGATTGTAAAACATGGTTTGAGTATGGGGGAGTGTTGAGGATTTAGTATATTGTATCATGGAAACCCAAGTGCCGCTTTCTGAAAAGCTTGTTGTTATCTCTCCACAAGAATGTGTGTGTTGCTGATAGGATCGGGAAGTGGGATATGCGGTCTATGCTTCGATTGTACAACGCTATCAAGGACTTCTCAAAAAAGTCAACGAGGAAGTATCTTTGCAGGCTGATTTCTCGCATCTTTCTCAACAAGTTTGGTCTCAGTCCGAGTGCCGACTTATTGATCAAAGTCAAATTCGATGATAGAATTAGTGTATGTGAATTGCGTAAGGTAACTAACGACATTTTGATGAAATGTGACTTACCCCTCTGCTTCCTACGAAGGGCTCGAAGGAAGACTCGGATCGTCTGGACCAAAAATCGGACGGTTGGCGAGTTGTTGCACAATAGGGAATTTAGTACCTGTAACGTGCTGACCTGTCGTTGCACAGGATTACCCTATCCGCGCATGGATGGGCACGTGCACTTCCGTTTGAAGAAGGGATTTGTCGACCACCACCTATTAACCAACGCGAACAACATTCCGCTTGTGCATAGGACGGATCGACTGTCATCTTTACGTTCCGAGGTTGAGCGTGGCTTCGAGAACTGGAGGAACTTTCGGGGCAACTTACCTCGTATACCACTGGAGATCTTGTCATCGTGTATGATTCACCTTGTGATGCAGGAGGCTCTCTCTTGTATATCCGTGATGTGGTAAGATTGAAACATCTATTTGAGGGTTTGGTTCTCACTCCCGTGGATCGTAACCCGGGGGAGACTGTTGAAATGCGCCCAAAGATTTATTATGAGGCAATGATGAATACGTTCGTCAGGAACCCGGGTTACAGGATCGTTTCTGTTCCTGAATCTGTTGTACTTCGGAAAGTTAGGGAGGATGTGATGTCGGCCGGGTTACAGAAGTTTGTCCGCTGGGACAACTCAGGATCCGTGGGCAAAGCCTATGTCATTCCTAAGCATAAGGACTTGACGAGGTATCGCCCTATCTGCCCGACCTATAGCGAGCCTATGGTTCGTACGGGGAGGGTGGTTGCTAAGGGGCTCAATTTCCTGTTGTCAAGGATGCTAACCGACAGTCATTTCAACCTTCCAGCTGTTTCAAAACTGACGACGAAGCTGGAACAGGCAAATTCCAGGATACAACGGCTTGGACGTCGAGCTAATCTCACTGCACATTCTTATGACATTAAAGATATGTTCAACAGATTACCTCATCATGACATCTTGAGGGCGTTACGATGGTTAATTGACCATCATTCGAGGAAGGGGCAGTGCTTTGTCAGAGTCAACACGAGGGGGCGTGGCGCCTCCTTTGGTCTCACTACTGGAGCCGATCATTGGAGGAGGATCGAGTTTAGCAACTTGCAAAAGTTTGTGACCATTGATTTACAGCACACGTACACTTACGCCACGACTGTTTTACTCAGGCAGGATGTTGGGATACCTATGGGGAAGAGCACTAGCCCTCCCTTGGCGTGTATTTTGTGTGCATATGCTGAGAGTTTGTTCCTGCGTAGTCTATGGCGTTATGCTCGCTGTGTGATTGGCATTCGGTTAGTTGACGATGTGATGTTGGTAATCACATCTCTCTCCGACGAAACCTTGGAATGGGTACTGCAATGTTTTTCGAGGTGCTACCCCCGGAATCTTACCCTGAAGCAAATGTATACAGGGGATGGGTGTTTGGATTTCCTGGGATGTGAGGTCAGGTGTTCTTACACCTTTCCTTACCTCAGGAGTGTTCAATTGTCACGAAATGAGACAAGCCTGTGGGCATCGGTTGAACTGGAATTCCAGACCGGACAGTCGTTCCTTTCATGGGGAAATAAGCACCAGAAGAGTGCTGCTATCGGTAGCTACCTCCACCAGATTGATCAGAACACTTCGGTTTGAAGTGAAATTCCCGGGCGTGTCCTGTCCTTGAGACGGGAGTTAAGAATGAAGGATGTCCCTGCAAGCTTCTTCGAGAGAACGTTGCGCAAATTTGCCTTTCGACGGGATTTGATTTGGAAACAGACGGTGGAATTAGTGACGGGTTGGTAGATACTCTGACAGGGTTTGCTCGCCATTTCCGTCATGGATCGTCGTATTTCGGATGGAGTAGCCACTTGGAGTCGGCAGTACTGTTTATTTTGGTACCTTTTGTAGTTGTTCTTTGTATTTCTGGTGTCGGTTGATTGGTTCTTTGACAGTTTCTGCCGTGGTGGCGCATGCCCTCTGATGGGTACCTAAATAAATAAAATGGACTCTTTGAGGACGACGGCTCAGATAGGGCTAGCTTAGGATTTTTTCGGGCCTATCGGTGTTTGACCCAAGTTGTGAAGCTTGGTTGGATTTAGCCTTTGAGTAGGACACCCGGACCGGGTCTGTACCAGGCCTGGTATTGGGAGGCATGTTTTGGACACGGTACCATGCATACGTAGACTATATAGTGTGTGAGTACGACTGTCTCGACCTCTTACGGAACGCTCACTGCCGTTCGCGGTAGTGATCGTCGGGTACGTGGATTGCTCGGTGGTTTAATGCTGCCGTAATTTTCAAGAATTTGTTCCTACACACTATGCTGTCCTGTCACTCGCTTTGTGTTTGACTTGACTTTCTCATGTACTTGAGATGTGATATGATGATGCTTCCTAAACTCTAAACCCCATCTCTATGCTCTAATCTCTCAATTCAAATCTTCTCTTAGACTCCTCATCACAACAGAATGGGTAAAAATAAGGAATAATTATACCTCATTGGAGGTGGCCAGGTCAGTTTTACAGCAGAATTGGACCTTCCCTTATAAATTGGGGGGGGGGGGGGGGGGGGGGTTCTCTCTCAACAATGAGATCTTTTACTCTGAAGCTCCTATGGGGCCGGCTACCAAACCGCAGTTAAAAGCGACGGGAAGCGACGTACTCGACAGCTAGTTCTAGCTGAGAGGGGTAGGGTAGAGTGGAGTAGTACACTTCTCGGTGAAGATATCTGCAGCGTTTTAGCCCATCAAACCGATGAACAAAAGCAGAGCTGTTATGACCCTG